GACTCCACTCTGTCCGCTGCTCGGTGTTTACAGGATGTGCACTTGGCCGGCATTAGATTTTATGTAAACAGCCCTCTAACCACGCACACGTTAGCCACAGCGCTGTGGAGCCAGCTGTAATATTTAACTGGCTTAAAGGGCTTGACTCAGAAGTAATGATTCTCCTCAGTAAATATTTGTAGGTTAACAGCCCACTTCACCTCTCAGGGGGAGTCTGGCCGAGTGCTTAAAGTGAGTTTTTAAAGTGACTGTAGAATGGTGTTTTGAAGACCACGAACCCCGTTATCTAACGATTGAATTCATTTCTGTGATGAAAACTAAATTAAATTGTTATTTTGGATCGGATTATTATCTCAAGGGATAAGGCACAGTGAATACAAGCTGCTTTTCTACAGAGTCTTACCTCTGATTGTTTGCATCAGCCTGAATATCAGAAAAAACACTTATTTGCCAACAAAAATTCCTGTTAAGTGTGTGTTATTGTTAATCATTCCAAAATCCAAGAGGAAACTCATCTGTGATTCCACATTCAAAGGAAAACATTTACTCAGAAACCATCCAATCTGCAAAGCTTCCTTCAGTTACAGACAGTGTTTACTGGTTTGGGTTAACTGTGCAGTTATTCCATGACTCAAACGTTTTTATTTTCTTCTCAAATGACAAGACTGCAACCTGTGTGATTTTCCGTTCTTTTGTTTGAAAGGGGTTGGAAACTTGAATCATTGTGAACGTTTCTTCATTTTCAAGATTTGAAGGCAGTGATGTGTAATATTCAAACAATGGATACATGAATACTTTAATCATTGGTAACGATCTAATTGGCCATATACATGCTTACTAACGTGTGATAGTGATCGCTCTCTGGATGTATATGTAGAGTTTTATATATTTATTACACTGTATGGCAGCAACATGTGATCTCTGTTAACTATGGACAGTTCTCATGTTTTCTCTTTTGGCCATGACGCTTATTATTTCGCCTCAAAGTAAAGTATTTCTTATTTACTTGACTTGCAATAGATTTACTCCCAACATGTTAGTCTTCTTTAAATTAAATTATATTTTGATATGATGCCTTTTATCATTGTGTGTGAACATCACAGGTCCAGACTTGTGTTGTGGTTCTTGTGGAAATGTGTTTGTTATATCACCATCACCATCACATTCAAATTAAATAAAAAAAGAAATCATGCTTTGCTAAAAATCACTCACTCCGTAAAGTAAACCCTGACGATGCTTGAACAAATTAATGATGGATCCATGTCGTTTAAATAATCACAGAAGACTGAAAGGTTGTTTTTTCAACTTGTATAAGTTATAAATAATATGTCCCAAATGATGTATGAAAGGTTTTTTTTTATTATTGTGTTTGTAAATTATTCTACCTCTATGTAAAAGGTAAATAAAGTGAGATATTAATAGTTTTATTAATGGAGAGATCTGTGTTGTTTATGTGGGTGTTTGTTTGTAATCCATCTGTTTAGACTCATTCTGAATACACAAATACTGTTGTAAAGCACATTTTAAAAGCTTTTAACATGTATATTTAATTTATTGAATATTATATTCTATAAAAAAAATTCTAGGGGATTGGCTATACCCATATAATAGTTTGTATTGTCTTAAATCTGAAATCATCACTCCCTTATTTAGCCACTTGTTATGGAAACAGGAGACACTATAACAACCATCAGAGAGATAGATATGGATCATAGTTAAACACTACTATTTCTCCTTCGTTGTACATTCAATTGAACGACTTGTTCCATATCCCATTAACTTTTTTCAACTAACCGTACTGACATGTTCCTTCAATACTGTGCCTTTGTCTCACAGCTAACTGTGTCCAGCAGGTGGCGCTGCTGCTCCACCAATGAGCTGCAGCCTGGCTCAGATCACTGCTGCTGCTCAGGTTGGTGAGATCAATGTTCACTCAATCCATCATACCAAAATAAAACGTCCTGGTACCGATGTGAGGTATGTGTGTTCAGCTGTTGTCAGGTTATGTTGACAGCACGCTGAGCTCGTCATGCAAATAGACTCTGCACATTGTTCCACCTGCTAAACCATACACAATGTAATCTATTGATTTATCTTCCATGTGAGTGTGTGTTGCCCTTATGTGGTAACGTAAGAGCAGTGGTGGAAAGTAACCTACTATATTTACTCAAGACTAAGGTTTTAATTTTCTACCTTGTACTTTTACTAAACTTTAATCCATATGCAAATATTGTCCTTTTTTAATCCACCACATTTCTCTCAAAAAGCGGGACTGGTCTTTTTGTCTGTATGTTGCGATAGTATTACAAATTATTTACAAATTCATTATTTATGATGTATTAAGCTACCTTGCAGACTATAAAATAGTCCCTACTATACATACCCTTAGCAGCTGCAACATTAGGGAGACTTACACTTGTAAAGCATCAATAATTATAATGAATGATGTTAATATGTATTACAAGTATGAAATGGGCAATTCTGCATTATGAGTACTTTTACTTTGTACTTTTGTTTTTTATGCAATCTTTTACCTGTGAAATAGGATTTCTACTCAGAGGTATTCATTATTTTACTCAAGGTAAAGATCTGAGTATAGTTTAGCACCTCTGGTTAGGATTGATCAGGGTAACTCAAGTATAAGCAAATCAACCAATGTGAATAATTAAATGCAATGCTGTGTGTGAGATCCAAACAGTTCAGGCAGCAGAGGCAAAGCCATGCTGTAAAATACTGCTCAAAAATATCGTAAGAGTTAAACCCTCCCTTTAGATTTGTTCATGGGTTCCATCCAAAGCCCTAAGGTGACAGTATACAATAAAAAAAAATGTAATCTTAGCCTTATTGGTTAGATTATTTTCTCCACAACCCTTTTAGACAGCGTGATCTCTCTCTGTAAACCCTAACTAAAGTCTCCTCATTCTTAAAGTGACATCCCCCAACAGGACCAACAGGCTCCAGCGGAGGCAGCAGTTGTGCTCCGGCTGCAGCCCACCAGGTGCTGCTCGGCCCAGCGAGGGTCTCCAGTTCCAGCTCCATGTGCTCTCAGCTCCCCTCGCTTTCTCTGTATCTGCCCGAGCTATTTGAGGAACTATACAGGGACTGTTGTTGGCTTGTCCCGTTAAAAAAAAAACTCACATTCAAAGCCTTATTTCTCCAAAGATAAGATACCCAAAATAATGCATTCAACTAGAAAAAGTATTCTAAAGTATAAGTCAATTTGGTGAAGCTCAACCGTGCCACAGCAGCATGGTTTGTTGAAGATCATGCAGAGGTTTACTGGTGCAGAGTCTTCAGTCCCACTGAAATCACTGTCAATCTGAGACGCACAACTTTGTTAAATGCAAATGAACTGCACAGGCACAACGGTATATTTAGTTTTCCTTTAAAAAGAAAGAAATGTCCACCTCTTGTTGTTCCTGTCCACCATTAAGCAGAAGGCCTTCTACCACAAATGAATTCAAATGGATTTCTGTTTTTTAGATGTTCCAATTGTCTTGTTTACCTCATCAGGCGCCTGAGAAAGCAGCATTAGAAAGCAGTGCTCACTCAGCAATTACTGATTTGTGCAGCATATCACTGACATGATGAGGTTAAACAGGAAGAGGAATACGTCCTGAAACTGGATGGGATCAAATCACATAATTAATACACATTTCAGCAAGTTTGTCTCAAACAACAACAGTGTGAATGTAAATGTGGACACCAGACTGAAAACAAACTTGATTAAACTATCCCTAGCACTTTTTTACCTGTCCATTAACAATATCTCCAGTACCAGTATCCTCAGACTGTCTTCACTGTAACACCTGAGATAGAAAACTAATCTCCAACCATCCTCCTCCTGTCTGTTCTCGACATTCATCACAGGAGCCTCTGTCGTTGAGCACGCCGACACACTTAAAAAGGTAGGACACTCGTGTGCAGCAAGTGTATTGGTCCCAGCGATTGAATGCCGAGGCTTGTGCTATTCTTACACTTGGTCTGTCACTCTGACCCTCTGTGCTCTCCTGAGGGAGACAGGGAGAGAGTGTGTCGACTGAAAGGAAAGTCTAACTGAGTAGGCATCAAGGTAGAGTCTGAGCATGCTACAAGAAAATCAAACTCAGTTTATCTCACCCTCTCAACTTTTCTCCCTTCTCGCCCCCCATTTCACTGGCTTAATACTACCATTATAAGTCATACATTAAAAAAAATACATCTAGGAAATACCACAAAAAATTCCTCTCCTTGTCCAAAGTCTCTCGTTCAGCTGGCAGGATTATATTCTGACAAACTTAACTCATTTTTTCTGCCACCTGCTGCGTGCACATGCCCTTTCACCTCACTCTATCTCCTCCCCTTCCACTAGTAGACTTTCCTGGAGACTCCCAGGACTCTCCTCCCCCTCGGCCCCNAAGCAGTGTGCTATGGCATGGATATTCAAGTGTACTTAAATGGCATCTGTTTGTTTTAGTCAAGACTATGCTAAAATATACTTTCCCCAACTATATTTAAGTTCCCTATGAAGAGCCAAACTTCAGTTTTGAAAATTCCCAGTTTATTCCCATAAATTCCCGTGGAAAGTTTTCATCTTGCATTTCTCCATAACGATGTTGTTTAACAACCGGCGTAAACGGACCTTCGCGCGCTATCAAGCAGTGAGCGTGCGATGTCCTGTTCAGATGACGTCAAATCCAACGGGATGCCATAAATAAAACTACACAGAATCACACTACACACCTACGCAATGATTACATTCAGGCAGACTGTAGAATACAACCTCTTTGGACAATTTATATACTTATTGAAAACAAGCTACAAAATGTAATACCTTGGAAAATGCTGTTTAATACTTTTTAATAACCTTAATTTTCGCTAAATTGATTTATCAACTTTTAATACTTTTTAGGACCCCGCGGACACCCTGAAAGATGGGTTAGGACTTGCAGATCCAAGAATCCACATCAAAATACAGTTTGTTTTGTTTTAATATAATAACACATAAGAGAAAACACCATTTACCTGAAGAGAGAACAAGTGTTGTCCAGTCCAATACTGAAGACTCCATCTTCCCTTAAACTCTTTTTGTGCACGGTGCCGCCAAAAACTTTATTCATCATCTGTAACAAACACACACCCACAACTGAGTTAACACATAGACATAAAATAACATGTTAGTGTGACTGCAAACATGTTAGAAATGCCGGGTGTCTAGAGAAATGAGATGGAGAATGGATGGCTGCTGGTTTTCATTTACAGGCCAGCTAGGAAAGCTTAGTGAGGGATGTTCTCAGCTAAAGTGCCCTTGAAGAAGGCTGTAAAGTCACAGCTGTACCCAGGAGATATAACAGCAGTCTGGATATGAGTGATTGTAAAGTGTAGCTATTCATTGTGAAATGTATGCAATGAAAATGCTTCCTCGAACAAAGGAATTGTGGTATAAAGATGGTCTACATTTTGACTTTTAAAGCCTCACATCACATGATTTAAATGTGGGTTAAATATCACCCCAACATTAAGCGGAGTAGAAGTATAAAGTAGCATCAAATTAAAAGACTCAAAATGTACATAAATACCTGCATCCCATAGCAAATCCCAAGCACGGGCTTCCCGATAGTGAATATGGCCGGGTCAAACCAGGGGGCGTCTTCTGCATACACAGAGGCTGGACCTCCTGAGATGATGATGGCTCTAAGAAGGAGAAGAAAGAGAACAATCATGCAAAGGTAACCATCTTTATTTTGTTTTTACAGGTAACTAGTAGTCGTACATACATTTTTTAAAGTAACCCTCCCAACCCTGCTCACCTGTAGCCCTGTTCTCTGATGGCGAAGGCCGGGGTTTCCAGAGGGAGGATCTCAGAGCGTACAAACATCTCTCGCACCCGTCTGTCGATCACCTTGCCGTACTGGGCCCCGGCATCCAGGATGGCCACCGCCCCCTCACATGATCCATTCTGATCTGCGCTGCTGATATCCAGCTGTTGTCACGCAAATTCAGAAAAAACACACATTATGTTGTTTTAAGTGCAGAAAAGTGGGCAGAAAAGTGTACACTCATAGTCTCTTTTGCACACTAGTGCTTACTTTTTATCGAGTAACACAAAGAAAATGTTATTTTAATGTTTTCTGTAGAGGTGATGTAAGGCAACCCACTACTCTCTGGCTCCACTTTTGACCTCAAGCGTGGAAAATGTGAGCTAATAAAGGCCTAACACAATTAAGGACATGTGAGCTTCGATGCAGACACTGAGTCACTCTCGTCAAACGTGGTGTAACCATTCAGCTCATCAGTGGAATCACATGAATCCAACAAGTTAGTCAAAGGCTCTAATGAGCAGGGCACACTTTTTTAGCTGTGACACAAAGATGTAGGTCTGGATGTTTATTAAATAAAAAGTGTGCTGATCAGTTTGTGTGAGAGAAACATTTTCTATTGTATTAATTGCACGGAAAGATTATCTGTATTGCAGCAAACTTAAAAAAACAGATTATTTTAATTGAAAAGATTATTTTGTATGATTTGTTTACCCCGTTAATGTCTTTGAGAAATAAGCATTCTAAAATGGTTTATGATTATTATTATAATTTTAGTCCCTGGAGAGATGTTGTAAAGTCATCCTAAAAAACGAATTACATTTCAATTTGAATGAACAAGTTGCAAAAACATGCAACAGAGACATACAATACTGGAAATGAGTGTGAAGAAGTACTCAGATCCTTTACTTAAGTGGAAGTAGAAATACACTGGTCTTAAAATACTCCATTACAAGTAAACGTCTTGTATGCGTTAGTTAAATAGAAGTACACAATATTTAGCAGCAAAATCAATATTCAAAGTTCTTGTAATACAGAATGGTTGTTTTTACAATATTAACATGTAGAATATTATGATATCCAGTTTTTATGGCTCACAAATACTTTTAAGAGCATATTATAATTGTATATGTTTGTAATAATGTGTGGAGGCTATGTACTGTACTTGTATTTCTACATTTTTGTATAATCAATGTGTTAGTTAAGTAGAAGTACCATCAGCTAAATGAACTCAAAGTATCAAAAGTAAAAGTACTGACGATGCAGAAAGATTGTTTTTACAGTGTTACATTGTTGTAAAATAATATAATATCCAGTTTAGAAAGTAACTATTATATATACGAGTCAATGTGGGGCTCTGGTTGTCACACCGGTGACGTTAATAGCTTAGTGACGACGTTAGCAACCTTGTCAGTTAACGTTCAGTTAGCTTACAGTGAGTGACAGTATCCGCTTCAAATAAATAACCACAATCTCAATGTCACTTTCCACAAATAAACGCAAACGCAGTAATAATACTTGTTGTTGGACAAAGAGTACCATCACAACAAATTCGCACTGCCCAGCTAAAGCTACATCTACCAACTGCCTGTGTAGCATGCTAGCTCGCTGGTATTATAAACAGTAGTTGTTAGCAGCATTAGCATGTTAGCAGCACGTCCGAGGCTAAGTTAGCGGGGCTATGCTAAAACCCACGCGGTGCTTGGAGGCTCTTACGGGGGGCTACAACATGAGAAGAAGTCAGTGATTACATGAATGTAAAACCTATGTGTTTTTAACATAATTAAGACAACCTGACTGAAGCTATGAGCAACATGTTAATGTAACATTGCAACAGGCATACAGCAGTGGACCTGGTGGTAATGCTCTCTAACTTTCCCCCCGAGGTACAAACACACACAGGCCGGAATTAACACCAGCAACCCGGGGTCCTAACACCAAGTCACCCGGGCTGATGGGTTCTATGTCCCTGCTCCACTGACCTTGCTGTCTCCGTTGCACACAGCCATGGAGACGTGTTTTGGAAGGAGCTCTCCCTTCGCTGTGTCCCGGAGAGAGAGAGAGGGAGCTTCTGGTTAGCTCCTGGCTCAGCAAACCGATTACTGTTTCCAAAGCAGACTTGGGTTGTTGTTGGGGTTGGAGATGGACTGTCACAGGCTCCCCTCCTCTCCGGCTGGAAATAACTTTCTCAGTGGGAACAGACTAAATAAATGTGTCTGTGTGTGTTATGGGTGGAGCGCAAAGTTAAAGCCACAAAATGAAAGTGAGGGAGAGTGTGGCCCCAAGAGGGCTGGGCTTAGACACAGACTAGTGTGAATTTGATTGATCATGTTAAAAAATATGGGTAGTGGGTGCCGGTTATGTTTTATGACTAGAGGTGGAAAGTAACTAAGTACATTTACTCAAGTACCGTATTATTTTTATCATACTTTACTTGAGTGTTTCAATGTTATGCTACTTTATACTTCTACTTCACTGCATCTCAGAGGTCAACATTGTACTTTTTACTCCCCTACATTTATTTAACACTCATATAGTTACTTTTTATATAAAAACATACAATATGCTTACATTATTTGAGTGATACAAACAGGATAATATATTGTTATTTTTTAAATACTTTGAAAGAGCCATTCTGCATACTTTAAGTGTTGGTACTTGAAGTACATTTAGCTGCCAATACTTCTGTACTTTATGTTATTCTGAAGTGGGCCATTGTGCACAATGAGTAGCTACTTTTACTTTTTCAATCAATCAACAACTTTATTAATCCCGCAAGGGGCAATTGGTTATGAGCAGCAGTTTATGTCATGACACACAGAAGTGTGTCATGACATAAACTGCTGCTCATAACCAATTGCCCCTTGCGGGATTAATAAAGTTGTTGATTGATTGAAAAAGTAAAAGTAGCTACTCATTGTGCNGGGATTGGGATTGGGATAAAATCTCCGTTACTGCAGGTGAGAGCCCTCTGAAGGCTCTCACCACGCCAATGGGTTTCACTGTCTGGATTAAAATGGGTCCCTTTTCACTCACTTTTACTCTTTTACTAGGCTTTATCACGGAGTATTACGCCCGTACACCTGTCATCGGTCTCCTGAGGTGTCCGTGTGTGTGTACGTCTCTAGGTCCCGCCCTCGTGTACCGAAAAAAATGGGGTCGTTATCCAGAGACTTTCGGCCCTCTGAGGTGCCTACGCGCGTGTGGTTCTCGTACAAACTTTGGGTAAACTTTACCTGAGAGTCTGTAATGGACCTTCTTACGACGTACACTGTCATCGGTCTCTCCTCGTCCGACGGGGTCTCTGTCCGACGCAGTGTAGTGAAACATTGGGTCCTTTCCTCGGTCCTTAAGGATCCGACGCAATCACAATTTTCGCGTAAATTTGACAAAATTAGGCTGTCGACGACTACACGTGCCTTTCAGACAGGCAAAAGCAATTGTACAGCTATCGGTTTACCCTGCCTTTAGCAGGCAACGCCACATTGTTTACTTACCCGGTTTACTTGTTCGGGACTAATTTCGGTATTACGTCTTCTAGGATATTTCAGGGTCACGCGACACACGTCTAATACATTACGTTCTCATACACAATACGTCGTTGGTATAATTAACTCATTGTAGTTAAGGATAGTTAATTTAATTCGACTGCTTTCAAAACAGTATTGCTAATGTTAGTAAAAAGTCCCCTTCATCGGGTTCGCGCACGCATATCTGAGACTTCAGGCAGTAGAGGACAGAGATGAGTTACTGGGAGATAAGATGACTAGTTCGTGTTTACTGCCTGTCTAGCACTTTGGAGGAGTAGCAGAAGCAATCTTACAGTCGATCGGGTTACCCGATCGTGCGGTCGTCCATTTCTTGCCGGCTCAGCGACGAGAGTCTCCGGAGTCTGAGTGTCCGTGTTGTAGATGCACCAGCGTCTCTGTTAGTGGTCCTGGCACACACGTGTACCTGAGAAATTTAAATCGTCTGTCACGTGTTTATTTAACAGAGACTCTATTATGACGCCTATACATCTGCGCCTTTCAAGCAATATTAGACTAACGTATCTATCCGTATGTACACATCAATGTCTGCCTACAGCGTCACCGTATAATGTAGGCGTACATTGTCCTGGCACGCGTCCGTCGAGAATATGTCGTCGCTTATTTCGTCTCTCCTCGGTCGATGCTATGGGTGCGGTGGCTCAGTCTGTCGGGGATGGAGTCTCCTGTCCGAGACTAAGACAGTGGAGTGAAAAATTGGGACCTTTCCTCTTCCTTAGGACCGACGCACTAACAATTTAATTTACCAAAATAGTGCTGTCGGCGAACGTACCGAGTGCCCTTAGACAGGCAAAGCAATTGTTAACACTATCGTTTACCGCTGTTTAGGCAAGGCAAAGGCAATTGTAAACTTGATCGGTTTACCTGTTCGTCCATTTTTGCCGTCTCAGGCGACGAGAGTCCCGGGGTCCGAGTGTCCGTGTGTGTGTACGTCTCCAGGTCCTCGTCCCTTAGGACCCAATGCACTCACAATTTTCACGTAATTTGACAAAATTAGGCCTGTCGGGCCGTCCACGACTGCCTTTCGTGCCGCCTTTGTTTTACCTAATAAAAATGGGTCCTTATTCACAACGTTGCTGAACCCCTACATGTCACAAGGACGTCGTGTGAGGCGTATGTGTGTGCCTAAGGCAGGTGAAGTGTTACAATGCCTTGCGCTGTCTAAAGGCATCGTAGTCGCGACAGCCTATTTGGCTAATATTATACAAATCTAGTGAAAGGTCGTACTTGTCATAGAGAATACTGGATCGTGTCGACAGGACACAACAAAATATTGTTCTATTCACTTTTCTTACTTGTGGATAAAGAGTTATGAGCAACTCGATTACTCTGAAGCGCGCATAGATCGACGAGGAGAGAGGTCGACACGACGACTAGGTGTGTTGAAAGGGGGCGGGAGTCTTTCGCCGCCATTTTTCGGTATCACATGGTGAAAGAGATGTGTACACTTATTCACGAACACTCAGACTCCCGGGACTCTCGTAAGGACGTCGGGGAGGTATTGCACACCATTATTACTAATCTTTACTAAAGGTCCCAGCTTTCGCCAAATTTACACCTTTGTTTGATAAAATTTGACAAATTTTTCGTGTTTTTCACAAACTCACGCAAGAGTACACAGGGGTGTCTGTTGGGAATCGAGTGGCCCATGGTGGTGGTGGGGGTATGGGCAGGCGTATGTTATGGACGATGAACACAAGCCACTCGATTCACAACATTACCCTAACCCTAACCCTCACACCAGATACTGACTGGTTTTCGGACCCCCCCAGACCAAAAATGCACGTTTCAGAGTGGCCTTTTATTGTGGCCAGCCCAAGGCACACTGGTGAATAATCATGCTGTCTAATCAGCATCTTGATATGCCACAACTGTGAGGTGGGATAGATTATCTTCGCAAAGGAGAAGTGCTCACTATCACAGATCTTTTCAGATTTGTGAAAAATATTTGAGAGAAATGGTTATTTTGTGTACATAGAAAATGTTTTAGATCTTTGAGTTCATCTCATGAAAAATGGGAGCAAAAACAAAAGTGTTGCATTGATATGTTTGTTCAGTGTATATCATATATTGTTATGTCTCCATAGTTTTAGTTTCTCCTTCTCTGTAATCCCGAACAATTTGCACAAAAGCTACCATGCACAGCTGTAATGTGTATATACTATGTATATATGTCTCTGCTCCTGTAGTATAAGTCTATATTTCTGCTGCAGTATTTTGGTCTTTAATATCACTTTATTTGTGAAAAATGCATTTTCTACTGTAGATATGTTTACATTTGCTGTTTATTTTTTGTATTTTATTATGTTTATACTTATTCCACCTTTTACATTATATGAATGCTATAACAAAATAATTTTCCAATATGGGATCAATAAAGTATCTATCTTTCTATCTATTTAGTGCACACTCCCAAGAGTCATTCTTTATTAATCGAGAACTTTTGCGTTAGATAGGATCAGTACAATGTACAGGTAATACTGAGTACTTACTTATAATTGTTTTTTTACTTTGACTTGTTATTTTTATTTCTTCCACCTTCCTTTCGAAAAATAAATCTTAAATATTTGGCGCACAAAATAAATACAGGGGAGGTTACCTGACCCTGTTTAAATCAGCTGACGCAGAACTCGGTGACGGATCATCCTTGAGACCGGATGACAATGCTCTCAGGATGTGAAAGGCTAGTTTACCTCCGAGCTTAACCATGGCTGCTTTCAACTTTCATCTCCCTCTTTAGTCGCCATCAAAACTCAGATCATATTTCATTTTAAAAAGAAAAGTGAGTATTTGAACAGGAAAGCATTCCTTGAAAAATCTACAGAAATAATTAGAGTGTTAGTGCATGATGGAGCGGGCTGGAGATCAGCAGCGGGTCACTTTTGGACACTTGGGAGTGGAGGGACAGTATAAAGTAAAAGGTTGCAGCAGAGAGAGTTTTCTCAGGTCAACTCCCAGACTGTTTTCACTCTTAGATTTCATGCCCTCCCCGCTTCTCCTGAGTGACATGATATGGTTTACTTCAGAGGTTGAGGAGGGTTTTGGATGCTCGTGGCTGAAGCTGCTACAAAGGTCAGTTCAGTGGGATGACAAAAACGTAAGGAGAGTGTAAAAAAACTCTATTATTTTCTGCAGTTCTCTTAAAAACAGTGGCAGAAATTAGTAATCTGCTTGTGTTCATCCACAAACTCTTAAACATCTGTGACCACTGAGCTGTTTTCTTAGTAGCGCGCAGGATTTCAAAAGCCCTTTTGTCTGCTGGAGTCATTTCAGAACAAGGAGGGACACACAAAATGAGGCAAATAACCCTAAATGTGATCCAGATTGACAACTCAAAGTGGCAATTACAAGGGTGAAGTTAAATCAATTATGATGCTTTATCTGCAAATAAGATCAATCTCGCAAATTATTTTTATTTCCTGATTTTAAAGTTCAAAACTTCAAGAGTTATTGGACGTGTAGAAAATGCCCAGTCTTTAGAATATGGGAGTAGTTAAACAATGACATATTGCATAATATACTGGGGCTAGTGGAGCACGCGCGTGAACTGAGTCGGAGCCTCGCAGCAGCAAAATTGTAGCGCGCTTAATTGCGCCACAGCACAGAAATAATATGGAGTGCATATATGTTGAAAAACATATATATAAGGAAACATATAAGGAAATGTTGATAACGTTTTAAACAAATAGCTGTTATCTTACTTTTTGCTTGCAGGGCTCCACACTGCCAGTGGAACTGCACCCCCTTGACCCCATGGTGCATTCCAGCCAAGGTTAGCAGGGGGCTCTTCACTGTGGGAAGGAAGTGCTGATGGAGGAAGGGACAGGTGTCTTTATCACCAACACACAGTTGTATCCATAAATCAAGAGCTAAGGCCCCTAGCAACCACACTGAGACCGAATTTAGAGCAGCAAAGGGTCAGCGTTTCTAAGGCTGTGGTTTAAGCGTGTGGATTGCAGCATATGACGTGTTGTTCCGCGTTATGCAAACCTCAATACCGGTACTTCATCACAGCCGTGGAGAGAGTGGAACATGATCAGCCTGAGGACAGGCGGCTTAGATTGCTCCAGGCGGAAGCCCACTTCATGTCAGACTTGTTTTCTGTTTTGATTTATGCCAAGCATTTCGTTAATATCCTGGATTGTCAGGGTGCCGTGATGTGGTTGAACCTTTGTTTGTGTACAGCAAGTTATGTGAAAGTCATCATTCCACTTAAAGGTGGGGTAGGTAATTCACTTCAGGTACACTTTTTGTTATATTCCGTGGAATACTCTTAACATCCCGATAGCAATGAATACATAAAATGCTTTGACAATAAATACATAAAAACATTTCATCTGTGGAAGCTGTAGCGCTGTAAAAAGCACGACCAATCATTTTAGCCAGCCCGGCTAAAATAATTGGATGGCCTAACTGCCTGTCAGCCTTCCATCTGTGCACAAACTTATCTCGTGCCCTCATTGGTCATGTGCGCGTTCGTGTGTGTTGGAGGAGGGGCTCTGTAAGGAAGTCTGAAGGAAGGGGCAGATTTTTTTCGGCTTCGTACTCGAGCTGGTTTCTCCATTCTCACCTACCCTACTCAATAATTTTTTTTGGTCATAAAAGTTGTTGTTCTCCAACTTGAAACATGTTTTAGTCGAGGCTTTTCGCATACATTCGACACAGAGCACCTAAACATCTACAGCCTTTGTGTGTGTACAAGGTTAACTTGTGTTTGTTTCTCAGGTGGTCAGAAGCAGAGGATAGCCATAGCCAGGGCTCTGCTCAAGGTGAGTACAACAACATGGCTGTTTTACTGTTTAACCACATCTGAAGAAAGACACTACTCCCGTCATACAACCAGTCACATGCACTTAACATTCCTTATCCTTTAACCCGGCCTGATTGTTACCGTCAGTGCTCACAGACTGTAATCATCCACAAGGGACCCGTGGTTCTATTTTTAGATCTAAAACTATCTAAATTGATGAATAGCAGCACGAGTAAGGGAAAATGTGTGTTGTTAATTTTGAAGTGAGCTGTCACTTTTTAAAATGTCAAGTTGAACCAGGATCTGCACACTTCCTGTTGTTGTGTGCATCCTTAATCCTTTCTCCCATTTGTGTTCTCTTTTTACAGAATCCTAAGATCCTGCTGTTGGATGAGGCTACCAGGTAAGAAAGACAATAAACAAAAAATACTTTCACTATCGTTATAACTCTTGCATTAGTTTACCTTTTATATGATAATGTTCCTGCCTTTTGAAACTGTTTTTTATTTTTGCTTGTTACAAATACATCTTAGTTTAATTAGTTGAAGACAACCCTAAACGACCATCTTTCTTTAGTGCATTGGATGCTGAGAATGAGTTCCTGGTCCAGGAGGCGTTGGAGCGTCTGATGACAGGTAGATCTCTCTCCTGTTCAATTGTTTTCATTTCAGAATAAAGTTACAATCCCAGGGTGTCCGCGGGGTCTTAAAAAGTATTAAAAGTTGACAAATCAATTTAGCGAAAATGAAGGTTATTAAAAAGTATTAAACGGCATTTTCCAAGGTACGTGGACTTATATGGTCGCGTCGTCGATTTAAGCTTACTACACATGTATATATTCGGCAGACCCTTGGATGATTCGGGCTGTCACAAATTACAAATTACATGGTAGTACATTCCCAAGCACGTGTCTCCCCTGACAGCCCTTTCTCTACCGACAAACTCCTTCGAAGGGTAGAATAATTGTAAAGTTTTTTTGTTCAAACGTATAAACGTGTTGCATAAGTCACAAAATCGGTAAATCACGTTTATCATCGATGTCTTGTACAACCACGACAATTTGACATGACATAGTGTATCGCAAAGTCTGTGTTGTTTGACAAAGTTGAAAGTTTGAATTTGCACACGGCGAGGGTCGCGGCATTCGGCCGTCACTAGATTGTCGTCACAAAAGTGGTCACCATGCCCCTGTTGACAGAGCTAGAGCATTACAGACAGGACAGGAACGAGAGCAAGACAGAGAGCGCATGTGAGACGCAAGGGTGAAAAAATGAAAACGCCGATGGAAGAGTGAGAAAAGGCCGAGTGTCGAAAAGGACGACCTCGGGCGGCGAATTTTCCACCCCCCGCGCTGGCGGTTATTCTCAATTTCCACCACCTGACATTGGTACATTTTAGGTATCTAAAATCCTCCAGGGGACATTTTAGGTATCTAATCGGCGGTGGCAATATATTCGGCGTCGCAAGCTTTTTACCTTTTTTCGCGCGCCGAATATAGGGCTTTTAATTCCATGTGGTCTTAGTGTGATGTGGGATGCGTTACTAATGGTAAGTCCGTCTCACCATCTTATGTTGGAGAAAACCTGAAATATATAAATAACTTGTTCGATT